TCGGCGTACCACTGAGATCGTCGGAGAAAGATAACCAATGAGCTCGATGCAAGTAAGAGCGACAAAACTAGCGATGATGCAGGACTTGAATTAGCGAAAAAAGAGTATATTCAGATTGTGAACTCACCTCGCAAAGTAAGTAATGTGAGTTTTTATCAAAATCGTGAAACAGTCAATGATTATTCCTCCTGATGATTGTTGTCGCATTTCACGGAAGTGTTCTAGAGCTATCCAGACTGCGAGGCAAAGTGTGAGGACCTCCCATGCAGTGAGGAGTATCCAAGTGGTGTAGTCCAGAACTCGTAGGACACTTCCCCTAAAAGCAACAACGCATTCATAATTGCCAAAAAGAACGCGTTCCTCTGATATTTGCCAATAAGCCAGGTGCACTTGAATGTTTCATCCGCAATCGATGCTTACCGACTACAAAATGGCTCACTGTTATTGCGATCATCACTCCGATGGCGATTCTTATAGCCAGGAAGACGACGAGGAATATCAGCATACGTCTGGATTTCTGATACATGGCATATAACCGAACGATCATGATGACTTGCCTGATATATCAGTCAAGTCAATATCACAAAAATGCATAGCTCACCACCCAGCATTATATTTGCGACATCATTAATGTATTCTATTGCGTCGGACATGATATGGCCTGACAAATCAAGTAATATAAGTTATTAGTCTTGGAGGAGCACGCATTTTAAAGAAACTCACAACTGCGGAAGTCATTATCTTGATCTTATAAGTTTTTCAAGAATTTCACTCACCCCTACATAGCGATGTGTTGATTGAACGAGAATAACTGGGGTTCACGAAGAATACTCACCATATCAGTCACTGAGATTGTCGGAACATAAACTGCATGCCTTCGATCAGAACACACACGACTTTGGGATATGGAGAGACACACCCAGAAGTTAGAACACAGATGCTGATTGTGAATGATGGCTATTTAGCACAACGCCGATTGCATATCCTCCGAAACGTACATGGCATATATCATTCCGATGTAGCGCACCTAGGATATTTCGAAGTTAGTACCACGACTTGCCAACCATATTTTTGTCAGTTACATACACCAAGGTACATAGCGGTCATCAGGGACCAGTTGTCGACCCTGCCGCAAAATAGTTGAATTTTCACGTCGCTCTTCCGATACTACAAGAGTCTACTCACCCAGATCAACTCAACCTGTAAATCATCGTTAGCAGGATGGCTACTCTTAATAATGGCATCAACCTGACCTCTTGTCCGAACGTGAGTGCTGACAATACCTGAGGCCGTCAGTGGTTTTTTTTATACTCGTTCTTGCTCACCCCAGTCGTACATTAAACAACAAATGTAAGGATTGTATATCCTCTAGGCCCCGACCACACTTCAAAAAGAAGACGCCCGAACGGATCATACGTTCGGAGTCGTCCGTGTGACTCACTGATGCCAAGAGTCTTACTCTTTGTATCCGAGTCACGCGGATACATCCCTTTTCACTTTCATTATGTACCTTATCTTGCGCTCGCGTCTCCGTCCCTTCATCTCGTATTTTCACCTCGCCACCAAGTATTTTCACTTCGTTATCGACTATTTTCACCTTGCTATCGAGCATTTTCACGCTGCATCTGGCTTAATAAAAGTATTTCAAACGTACTTATACGACCAATGTATGCTAATGTAGAGCAGCGAATTCTATCCTAGATTCCCGCTCCAAGTACTTCAGAAGCCCTACCTGAGCGTGTCCGTCTTAAAAGAGTTAACATCATTCGTGTCTCTTGTCGTCTCATCTAACCCCCTTAGCTCACATTCCCCTTCGAACTCACTAGCCGCCTTACACAAAGGAGGCAACTGCGACGCCGTGAGCAAGGTCAGATTAACTCGTCATTTTCATGATCCCACTAGCTATCCACGAACCTACAAAATAGCTGCTTAGGCGATGTGGATCGATGAGTGGCCCGGACCAACTGGGATCGTCGGAGACTGTTAGGGTCATATTATCAGAGAATGGAAGTAGACGAGTGGGGGAACTTGGGAGGACGTATGATGATGGCATTCATGTTAGATATACCATATTCAAGTGCTTGCATCACCGAAGTGAGATTGAGGGATGGTATCTATTCTTGCCTTGGTTGGCATACACGTAAAGCAGATAAGGGTTTCATCAGTGAAATGCTGTAGAACACATACGGTCCTAACTTAGCGCAACATAATCATCGAAAGAGCTCGAGGTCTCGCATTTCAATGATGACATTGAATTCAGCAGTCCCTCTGCCTCACTGGTCCAATTTACGAAGTGCGAAAGGTCTCTTAACAAATGGCTTGGTTACATTCTATCAGAAATGGTCAATGATATCATTGGTAAATGCCACTAACTGACAACTCACCGGTGTACCTCTATCATCATATCTGCCAGCGCATATACCTCAACGTGTAATCTAATGAACCGCTTTCCTCTCCCAAACTCGGTCGTATCCTCGATCATCGGTCACTCCATGCGAGCTATAGCGCTCATGGATGTCTTCATCGGGCTACAATGTCACAAGGACTCTTATGCGGTAGGTAGCTTTGTTACCGATGAAAAATTCAAATACTGTTAGTATGGGTGTCGGTGGCTTGTATAGTAGTATGCCTGAGAATCAAATAGAGGGAGGGACGGCTGTTCCGTTTTGTTACGTCAGGTGCGGGTAACTAGAACGTTTCCTTGGGTTCGCGTACATGAGGATCAGTACAGATGGGACCAAAAGTGCATACATGCATTGTTCCCAATTCCTGGTTACTAAGACACGATCGGCTTGTATAGTGACGAGGGCAGTCCTACAAAGGTGGATAGTTGGCCAAATATTGTGAACGGGGGAGGTGATGAGCAGGCATATAAAGACAAAGAAAGAGATCGGTTGTACGAAGAAAGAACCATAGAGAAGGAACAGGAACGCGGAACGAAAGCCACGAGCAGGTGTGCTGATGCTACATGCTTCATGAATGTGCGATGACTCCAGCCGGGTGGTTCACAAGTGGTGACGGGATTGAATGCACCAGTGAATAAATGCTGGTGAATGTATTTGAGAGTGTGCCTGTTGAATATTTGGGCCCGTTTCTTTGAAAGTTGAGAAATTTCACCCAGAGGCTATTGAAAGAAACCGTGATAGACACAGACCAATGTTAGGATCAGATGGAACCGAAAGATAGGCATCAAATGGTGCTTGCACTTTGTGCATGTCTGGCATCATACTTACTCTGCTGCAGAGAGGAGTCCGAACCAGGCCTTAAACAGAGCGAAATAAGGTACTACTACGGACTCGGCCGGAAGCGCAAGCTTTATGTAAACGTCCAACATATGTCTACACACGGTGCCGGTGATCGAGAATCATATCAACATTCATCTGCGTCTCGTGAACTTTTGATTCTCTACGCTACGGAAACAGGTACAGCTCAAGAGACTGCTGATCGCATTGCGAGAGAATGTCGAAGAGTCCATTTTCACTGTCGTGTGCAGAGCATGGATGCGTATCCACCAGTAGGCGGCTTCCCAATCGTTGTAACCTAATATTCAGGTCTTGTACAGGGAACGTTGATTTCGGAACACTTGGTCATCTTCGTGGTTTCGACCACTGGCTGGGGAGCTGAACCCAGAGCCATGAGTTCATTATGGAACATGTTGTTGAGGTCCGATCTCCCAAATGACCTGTTCGAGGACATGGATTTCTGCGTGTTCGGCCTTGGAGACACGGCCTATGAGAAATTCTGTTGGCCGGCAAAGAAGCTATCGAGAAGGATGCAGAGTTTGGGAGGGTATGAAATTTGCTCACGAGGAGAAGGAGACGAACAGCATCGCATGGGGTGCGTATCCTTTGTTTACTGCGTTCACATGGCTGATCGAAGTGCAGGGTAGACGGTGCATTGGACCCATGGATTGAAGGTCTCCTAGAAGTTCTCACACAGCTCTACCCGCTACCGCACGAGCAAGATAATATTCCTGCTGGTCGACCACCACCTCGCGTATCCTTGAGCAATGTGGGATCTGATACCTCGCTGGATCCAGATCCTCTAGATGAAGACACGAAGTTTCATACAGCTTCGGTGAAGTGCAACAGACGGATCACTGCGGAAGATTGGTTCCAGGACGTACGCCATTTTGAATTCTCCTTCGAAGACAATATAAAGTACGAGTCTTTACCTTTGGCATTCGCGGCTACTGATAAATCTCAGATATAATTCCGGAGATGTTGCTGTGATCCATCCGTCTGCAGCTGCATCAGAAGTCGACACTTTCCTTGTCACCATGGGCTGGGCGAATGTTGCCGACGATTTCTTCACAATAGAACATACAATGTTAGGTACGACAACACAGGATGCAGTAAACCCCATCTGATATCTTACAGATCAAACGTTGCCCGACCATCTACCGAAAATTGTTTCCCTTCGAATTCTATTCACACGCTATCTCGATTTCAATGCTGTGCCCCGCCGCTCTTTTTTCCAATTGCTGCGATATTTTGCTACCGATGAGCTCGAACGCGAAAAACTTAATGAATTTGTATCGATAGAAGGAGCGGTACGTCAGGTTCCCTCATTTTTCTTTCTTCTATTGAGGACGTACAGGACGAAATGTATGATTATTGTCAACGCGTGAAACGTACGACCTGGGAAGTATTGTCCGAGTTCCGGTCTGCAAGGATACCGAGAGAGTATGTCTTTGACTTGTTCCCTCCCCTGAGACCAAGAGAGTTCTCAATTGCTAGCTCCATCGAGGTGAGCTCGAGCTAAAATGTGTTCACTGCAGTTCAATTCACCTCTGTGTTTCGTCAGTTCCATCCCCGTGAAATCCATCTCTGTGTTGCTATAGTACGCTATCGCACAAAGTTGAAAATTCATCGGAAAGGCGTCTGCACTAGTTATCTATCAGGGCTCAAATTAGGTCCGCACGGCATTCTAGCGTAGTTCCTGAACTCATGTCATCTTCAGGGGATACCCTTCGTATCGGTCTCAGAAAGGGCTTCATTTCACTTCCTACGGATCCAAACACACCAGTGGTGTGTGTGGGTCCAGGGACAGGCATCGCACCTATGCGTGCCGTCATTGAACAACGCATAGACGAGGGACACACTAGTATGTTTGGCTGTCTTTGTATATCAGCTAATCCTTGATGACCCCAGATACTACCTTATACTTCGGTTGTCGTTCTGCACACAAGGATCAACATTATCACACGGAATGGGAATCTCATGCGGAAGAACAAAAACTCTGCTACCGCGTTGCGTGTTCTCGTGATGGACCAGAGGGCGTCAAACGGACGTATGTGCAAGATCTGATGAAAGAGGATGCACAGTATATTTGGACAATGCTGGGGCAGCAACGAGGCATCCTTATCATTTCAGGGTGGGTCCAGATTATATGTAACGCGTGGTGAACTCTAAGCCTTTATGATAGTTCTTCGAACAAAATGCCTACTGCCGTCCGTGAAGCTGTGCGAGGTGCAGTGGAGAGGTTCGGAGGAAGGTCAAATGCCGAGGCTGTGGAGTATGTTGCTGCGATGGAGAGGGAGGGAAGATTAATTGAGGAATGTTGGAGCTGAGAATATTTGAAACTAGTGAGCATCAAATTGTGAAGAAAACATACTCCTTTGCAGAGAAATACTCTATGTAGGACATTACAATCTAGTCTATGGGATCTCCGGTGTCTCGATGGCATCTCCAAACACGCGAATGCCCTGATGTGAGGCGTACCCCATCAGTCCGCCATTCCCGCCGGTCGTTTTAGACGTGCTGTTTGATGAGTGAAATGACTTTTGCAGTTATGTACGTGTGGGTTGGTCTATCGTGATAAAATCTTGACATGTACTCGGCCGCGTGTAGCAGGCTGGTACAGGATTTCGTGGTGCAAACATGTAGTATTGGGTGGGTGAACCTTGGGGACGGGAGGTACGACCAGTTACTTGTTTGACGTGCGCCATAGTGGGCGCGGTGAATCCATGTAGGCGAGTGAAGATTAGCGTACAGGTGGTATACAGGGTGATGGTACAAGAGGTGGGGGTGAGAGGACTTGATGACTTGATATACGCGGTTGATACAGGCGTTTTTATCTGCAGGGGGTGGGGCTATATCATTCTGGGGGTTTGCGAAGCATTGGTACTTTACCATAAGTCTTATGCAGTCGTCTTGAGGAGTTGATGAAACGAACAAGGTGTGGGGTAGCGGAGGGGTCGGAGAGAAGGAATGATAGCGACATGGTGTCGCGGCCTATGGCTAGGAGCATTGCGTGGCGGTCTCTACGATAGTGTGGACAGTCGAGGAGGTAATGCGGTACCGTTTCAATGATGTCTGGGCAGTGTGGGCAGTGGGGGTGCCGTGAGTTTGACGAATGAACGATGCAGTAGCTTAGGGTCGATACGATGGAGACGATTGAAGCGTGGCGACGTTGTACTTCATTACTGTGAGATCATTTAGTGCCCACCCTCGGGCCCAGTCGCCTTCTTTCTTTGGCAAAACACTGGTATTACGGGTTCCATCTGAGATTAGCAACGTCACGATCATCGTGTCTGAGCGGCTGTCCCATTTTGCAAGAGCTCGGGACCATGTGTTCCGGTGGCCATTCGTGCTTTGACTTCAAATACTG